TAAAATTAAAGAGCAAGTCACCCCCAAACCAACTATTTTTTTCTGATAAACTATATAAATGCGTGTCAAATTGTGCTGCAGACACGTGTAGTCAATAGTTTTGCACTTTAGTGCATTTTAGTTAAAATTTAAATTTTCTGCCTGAAACTGTCAGTGTTGTGCCGTTGTCAGGTAAAAACTCTTCACTGGATTTGAATTTAAATCTGCCACCGCTATTGGCTAAGAGGTAAGCAATGATATAAACTGGTACATTATGATGTCACAATGTCATGAGTGTGTGTATTTGTTAGTGGCTCCACCCTCTAGGTCTGCTAGGCAACAGCATTTGTTGCATTTTTCAAACATGAAGTGGGAGTGAAGTACGCTTCTTGTAAGGGGTGACTTGCTCTTTAAATCAAAGGAAATTGTAATGGTATTGAATGTTTATTAATTACTATTCAAAAAATGAAAGTGATGGGGAAAAAGGTCGATCATATATTTTAACCCTGTCTGTTTAGCTTGACGTCTGATATATATATATATATATATATATATATATATATATATATATATATATATATATAGCCATGCCCTGATGTGGGGGCTGGGGGGTGCGTCGACATGGTCGGGACATAGAGGGGGGTGCGCGGCTAAATAAGTTTGGGAACCGCTGCACTAATGTTAGCTAACCTTGCAACACTATAGACGGTTTTCTGTGTGGCTGTATGTGTTTATGATTTCATGGAAAAGTCAGCGATTGTTCATATGTTTGTGATGTGTATTAATGATTGTTTCAGGTGTTGTTGAGGTTTTGTGCACGCATGTGTATCTGCTAGTGTTGAAGGTGTTTTAGAGAACAATAGGTACGCATGACCACTTCCTTCATAGCACCCTCAATAAAAAGACTAGCTCCTTCATAGCACCTGCAGAAAAACATTTCTGGAGCCGCCACTGTCACAACGAGTTACACAGCCACAGGAGAAAAAACAGTGACGACGTGCATTTTAAAAGATGTGGAACAGTTGTTTAATCTGTACATCTGCTGTGGTCTCTAGGAGGAGTGAATGACTTGTACGTCATATTCTGGGGTCAAAAAGCTCCGGTGCACCTGCTCCTGGAACTGGAAGTGAGCCACATCAGAGATAAGCTTCTGACGGCAGGATTTGAAGTCTTATTTCTGGATATTTGGACATCTCGCCTCGGGTTGGATAACAGCAATGTGATTCTATCACTGACTCTGCGCTGCACCACTGATGTTTTATCTCCACCAATAACACAAGCTTGGAGGACTTTGGCTGTGTGGTGGAGCTGCTAATGCTAACAGTTGGCTCCTACTTCCTATCTGCTGTTTCCTGGACGCTAAACCAACAACAGCCTTCCCTGTCGTGAGCCAAGATGGGTGAGTCCATGAGTGACAGTGTGACGTAGATCTGTCAGGCTTTTCGAATCCTAGAGTTTCAGCATCTCAGAAGCTAATGATGTTCCACACCTTTAAGGCAGAATCAAAAATCGGTATTATCTAGAAAATAAACACCAAATGAAGCAAAAGAAGAATATTTGAGTAGCATTTTCTACCAGATTTTCTCTTTTAAGCATATTGTGATGTTTCCTTTTGGCCACGTACACAACATACTGTTTCCTATTGAAATTCCATTTAAACCACGACCTGAAGGAGGAAGTTCTAGAAAACTGTGACTCAGTATTTCTACTCTTTATGATAACAAAGTCAAACTGGAACAGTCAACAGTCCATTGGAAAAGAAAACATTAAAAATAACATTAACAAATAAGACAAAGGTCAGTCCCTCTCATTTCCCTCTGGGATTAATAAAGTATTATTGAATTTATTATCAGAGTTTTGATAGTTATAAGAAACGTGTCCCATTAGTTTGGACATACAACAGCATGAAATGTAGATAACAAATGTATTCCTGAGGAATCCTTTGAAAATTACTGACGCATTTAATGAATTAATTTTTGACAGAAAAAAGAATAGAAAAAAATCAATGCTGGTTTTGTTTTTATTTACAATAAGAGAGCAGAGAAGAAGAACAGGAAATAGAGGAGGATTGGTATGGGGCAATAATGGCAGAAAGAAACAGTTTTTGTTTGTGAAGCATCTTATTAGTCCATCATTCAGGATTCCCAAGTAGAAAACATCCACAGGAGTTGCCAGTCTTCCATGGAAGGAACATCCTGGCAGGACCCCTCGAAGATCAAAGCCTGTAATTTATTTCTATTGTGTTTTTCTTCTTTAATACGCAGCGTAGTAAAGTTTTTAATCTTAATCAGTTAACAGTGTTAGCGTAACACAGTCACCATCTTCAGAGCTTTGCCGGTGTTGGCAGCTTCACCTTTGCTGTTTATCCACGTGCAGTAGGGGACAATCCATGTTTCTGTTCTTTTCTTACACCGTTTAGTAAAAGTTATTTGTTTACCTGACATGTTTCAGCTAGTAGCTAGCTGAAACACTTTTATCACAGCAGCGTCCCAAAACCATCTCCTAATACATGGATTTTCTGCTTCTTGATAACGTGACGTGTGACGTATGCGGATGAAGATCAGCTTCAAAGCTGTGATGTTTGTTTTCATGGTGCGGGGGCTCATTCCAGCCCCCCAGTAAAAAAATGCAATTGACAACTTTATTCGTCAATGGCAGCGAGCGGTTGGATTTAAAATGACGACTTCAGTCAAGCTGGCTGGGACTCTGGTAGTTTGCCCTGAAGTTGAAGTGGTAGCAGCCGGCTCTTTCTCCTTCTCTGGCCCTTTAAATGATAAATGACCCACACTTGTATAGGGCCTCTCAGAGTGAGGACTCCAAAGCGCATTCACACACTGATGGTGATGGTGATGAGCTACGATGTAGCCACAGCTGCCCTGGGGCGCACTGACAGAGGCGAGGCTGCCGAGCACAGGCGCCACCGGTCCCTCCGACCACCACCAGCAGGCCAGGTTGGTTAAGTGTCTTGCCCAAGGACACAACAGCAGAATTCTCTGTCCGGAGCCGGGATCGAACCTGCGACCTTCCAACTACTGGACAACCCGCTCAACATGTTGAGCTACTGCTACCTTTAGCACCCCCTAGACTCCGTTATTAATTTATGTGAAACAAAAATTGAAACTCTTCTTGACGCTGTCGTTTTAACACCTTCACCTAACAGCTGAAATGTCTCCCCAGCTTTCATTAATAAAATAATAATAATAATGCACTGAACATAAATAGCGCTTTTTAGGACACTCAAAGACGCTTTCACACTCTCACATTCACACACTGCTAGTGATGGTAAGCTACTTTGTAGCCACAGCCGACCTGTGGCGGTCTGACAGAGGCGAGGCTGCCATTTGGAGCCGTCGGCCCCTCTGACCACCAACAACACAGGCAAGTTGGGTGAAGTGTCTTGCCCAAGGACACCACAGCAGAATACCCCTGGTGGGAGCTGGAATCGAACCCATGAGGCAACTCGCTCTACCTCCTGAGCTACTGCTGCCCCAATTAGCGTCTACAGGAGTGATTCATCACTAAATCAGCTGTGTTTATGATCGAAAACGTGCTGGAACCAGACTGCATCGACAGAAATGTTAGCTCAATTTTCTCTTAAGTCCAACAGATCAGACCGGCACTCTGAAGTTGCAAGTGCAGTATTCAGGGCACAGAGGGCGGTGGGGTCTGCGTGACATTTCATTAACCCTATAAATTGTCATTTTAACACATACTGGCTCAAGAAAAATATTTTAAAATATGAAAAATTAGCTAAATATGTCTTCAAATTTAAAAAGGTACAAAACTCACACATGTCAGAGTGTTTGTAGAATAGGTCAGAGGTTTTTCTTTTCAAGGATTCACGCATAGATGCAGATAACCTGAACCACGAGCCTTTACGCTGGGCAGCTATTTGTGGTTCAGTTTTAAAGTGTGAAATGACAGTTTAACCGCATCTTATAAAAACACTCCCAGTATGTAGCTGTAAACTCACCAAATGACCAATTCTGACAAAGATCAACTTCTGAGCAGGAAATCAGCATGGCTGAGAATATTCAAATTCAAATTTTATTTGTCACATACACATTCATACACAGTACGAAATGCAGTGAAATGCCTTACACAACTGCTCGTGACCTAAGAGTTGAAAATAAAATAACTGTACACCACAAATTAAAATGAAGGGTAAATTTAACTGGGAAAGAGTAAGGTAAAATATATCTGAACTAAAGTTGAATAATAGAATAGCTTTACAACAAAATACACAATACAATACAAATTAGAATAAAAGGTAAATTTAGCTGGGAAGGAATAAGATAAAATATATATAAGTTGAAGTTGAGAATAAAGTAACTGTACAACAAAATACACAGTATGTAAATGTATAAGAATGTATGAAGAAATAAAAATATCTATACAAAACAGCAGCTGAACAAGTATTAAATGGAAATGAAATATATATATATATATATATATATACTAACCCTAGAATGAAGCAATAAATAGCTGGTGTTGGAATAGAATAAAAAACCAAGAAGCTGAGTAGAAAACCACATTCTGTGAAATGGGAAGTCAATACAGAGAAAAAAGTTTGGTATAAACTCCAGCGTGAGTCGTCCAACTCAATCTCAAGAGGACGCAGCTTGGATCACGGCTGACAACAGGTACAAATCCTAACACTCTTCAGCTTTGAGAAGTTTGGGTATAATGAAGATATTTCATACCTCTGATTTGTTTATATCCTCATGTATGACGTCTGTAGTTCCAGGTAGTCACAATGAAAATGTGTTAGTGAAAAACACGTTTTTACAGCTGGCTTTCAGGACTAAACAAACCATTTAAAACCGTGTAGAGAAAGTCTAAAATGTAACTTCTGAAGTAGAAAATAAAAACTTACAGACTAGCTTCAACAGTTTCTAAATAATGACATAATTGCTGCCGTTTTCAGTCGTTTCACTAACCAAGTAGAAGCTAACGTTACCTGAATATTCTGTAGCAGCGCTGCAATAGAAAGCCAATAATGACACGACAGTCCTCTGGTTCATAAAGAACAAAAGTAAATAAACTGTTGGATCTTTATTATGCTCTACATCTAATTTGCACTCAAAGCCATTGAGTGAGCCCATAAAAGGAAAGGCCGGCTGCTTCCGTCATATTAAAGGCTCTATTACCTTCAGTACTCTGTTTACTGTCTCCGTTGTAAAAATAGAGGCTGCGCGGGCTCATGGCCCCTCCATCGCTCCCACCAACAGAAACCACCAGAAACTACACAATGGTAGGTCCTTATTATTTATCTTTTATTTAGATAATTATTCCTTAATCTTTTAACTTGTTTAATGTTGTTTTAATCATGGCTCACCCATATTTTTCTCTCTTCCCATCTTTCCATTCTCCCTTTTCTTCGCCCCCCCCTGTTTTCACACATCTTCACAGCAGCTGTCCAACTCCACAGGGATAGACAAGATGCTGGAGAGGTATTATTTGACTCCATTTTATGCCCTGGAGTTCTGCGTCGGCTTTCCTGCCAACCTGTTGGTCGTACTCGGCTACATGTTTTGCCTACAGGAGTGGCAGAGCTGTCATGTTTACATTTTTAACCTGGCGCTCTCTGACCTCGTTTTTCTCTGCACCCTGCCACAACTCTCCTATCTCTATGCAAACAACCAAGTGTTGGAACCTGCCGTTTGCATCATCAACCGCTACGTCCTGCACGTCAACCTTTACTCTTCCATCCTCTTCATGGTCTGGCTCAGCGTTGACCGCTTTCTGCTCGTAAAGCATCCAGCAAGAGGCCACTTCATGCTCCGGCCACGCGTAGCCGTGGTCACGTCAGCGCTGAGCTGGCTGGCTGTCAATGTGGAAATTGCTCCACTGATTGCCCTGATGGTGAAGGACCTGCAGAGACAAAACTGGAGCAACTGCAGGGATTTTGCCAGTTTGAAAGGAGGCGTCAATCCTTTAGGCTATAGTTTGGGATTAACCTTGACTGGATACATTCTTCCACTGCTTGCACTTTGTGTTTTCTCCAAACAAATGTCACATCTGCTTCATGTGCAGGAGAGAGCTCTACAGCGCAGGAAAACCTACAAAAGGCCACTCCGGATCCTGATTTCAGCCACAGTGATGTTTCTGGTCCTGTACACTCCTTACCATGTGATGAGGAACATCAGAATTTGGTCTCGGCAGCCGCGGGGCGGGTTGCCAGAGCGTACAAAGATGTACATTAAAGCCACGTACATCATCACCCGACCATTGGCTTTTCTGCACAGCGTCATCAACCCTGTCTTCTACTTCCTCATGGGTGACAAATTTAAAGAACAGCTAATGGCTAAACTCAGAAACATGGCCAGAAAAATACAACTAAGGAAAGAACCGGCCTAACCAAACGTGTGCACAATTATTTTTGATTTTTTTTGATATTTGCAAAATATATAAAGTAGCTTTTTTTGCACTTGCAATTTTCATGACTGGTTTATTTTAGGGGAAAAAATAATAAGATTTGTTTTTATATTTTGTGTGATAACCTTTTATTAGATTCTCACTTGTGTAATTAAACTTGCCATTTGTGTAAAGTGCCTTTTTTTTTATTTTTTATTTTTGCTTCATCCCACTCTTAAAATCCATTATTTTCAATAACCCAATTGTTTACACTGCTCAATAAAAGAAGAGAACACTTTTTAAACTAGAATTAACAACAGCTGCACTAAAAGGTCAACAATGAGAAGAGCCATAAACATGTGGGAAAATTTTTTCCTCCATCCTTCCTGCTATCTATCCACTAGTCCATCCGTCCACCCATGGTCCTCCGCTTCTCCGGAATCTGGTCATGGGGACAACATCCTAAGCAGAAAGTCACAGACTTCCCTCTCCCAGCCACTTGGGCGAGCCCCTCTGAGGGAATCCTAAGGCGTTCCCTGGCCAGCTGAGAAAGAAAAGGTGCTTTTACATCTGGTTCGGAAGGACCTACCTTGAGGGTATGGTGTCTTCACATCTGTAGACTGATTGGCCGGCTGAAATCCACGCCTACCTTTAGGGGGAGCCTCCGATCGGCGGGTAGAATCAGGGGCTTCCCGCATGCGCAATTCATCATCATTCTGGATGCTGTGGAGTAAACATCTCCTCTGTCTGCAGCTCGGAGCTGCCGCTCCAGCCTTGGCAGCACAAGAACAGACTGCTGTGAGGAGCACACAGCACTCCCACTGGGAGAGAGAGCCGAAGGCAGTGCTTCATATCAGAGTTTCCAAAAGCGGCACTGCACGGCTGCTTTTGTTTACAACACAGACTTTTTCATGCGTCCTTGCCTCATCGTCATGCTCAGAGATTTCCACATTCCTGAGAAGGCTATGTAAACAAAACATGGCAAAGATGAGCCAATGCTACCAGGACCGGGTTGGACTGAGCCAAATGAGGAAACGCCAATAGTCCCTCCAGTGGGTCCTGAGTCTTCCTTTAAGTCTCCTCCTGGTGTGACATGCCCTGGAAACTACACCAGGGAGGCATTCAGGGGGCATCCTAACCAGATGCTCGAGCCACCTAAACTAGATTCTGTTAATGTGGAGGAGCAGCGGCTCTACTCTGAGCCCCTCCCGGATGACCAAGCTTCTCACCCTATCTCTAAGAGAAAGCCCAAACACTCTACGGAGAAAAGTCATTTCGGTTGCTTGTATCTGCGATCTCGTTCTTTTGGTCATCACCCAAGGCTTGTGACTATGACCGTTGGAATGTAGATCAACCGGTAAATTGAGTTCTTTGCCTACCAGTCCAACATTCTCTTCACCACAACAGTGGTAAAATAATAATAATAATAATAATAATAATGCACTGAACTTATATAGCGCTTTTCTAGACACCCAAAGACGCTTTCACACACTCTCACATTCACACACTGCTAGTGATGGTAAGTTACTTGTAGCCACAGCCGCCCTGGGGAGGTCTGACAGAGGCGAGGCTGCCATTTGGCGCCGTTGGCCCCTCTGACCACCACTAACACAGGCAAGTTGGATGAAGTGTCTTGCCCAAGGACACAACAGCAGGATACCCCCTGGCGGGAGCTGGAATCAAACCCATGACCCTCCGATCATGAGGCAACCCGCTCTACCACCTGAGCTACTGCTGTCCCCCAAAAAAGCCTGCATCCCTGCATGTGCAACACCAATCCTGTCATTGATCTTGCCCGAGATATATAAACTACTCTACTTGAGGCGGGAACATGACCATGACCTGGAAAATGCATTCCACCTTTTTCTGACTTATCGTTTCTGACTGCTTTTCAGTAGTTTAGAATTTGACTAGGCTATGATATTGAGGTTGTACCTGAACCCTAGAACAATTTGCATCAACTGTCCTGCTCCACCAGGAGGGCACATCAAGACGTGCCATTGCAGGGCACAGAGGAGATACCAGGAGACAGGAAGTTAAAAGATAACTGAAGAGGACAACACTTGTTTTTTTTTTATTTGGTGCAAAATTCAGGAAATGATAATGCAACACAGACTGACATTACAATAAAAGAAGAAGTAACCCAGAATTGCAAAGAAGTATGTTTACTTGTGTGGTTAGAATTTGGTCCTGCTATAGATTCATGGGCCACTGAAATGAACAGCAGTGGACTAAGCACACAACCCTGTGGAACCCCAGTGATACATTTGTAACGAAATGAAATGACTGTTTTTTTCCCTCCTCTGCACAAGACTAGTCTGCATGAGATATGGTCTCAAGGTCTCATGCGTTCCTTCTAACCTGCTTATTTTCAGCTCAACAGAAGCATGAAGAATGAACTCTTTTCTTTTAATTAATCAAAGAACTCTATTTTAATAAAGCTAATCCATCAAAATGTTAGTCAATAAATAAGATAGGACCGATCTGTGAAATCAAAATATTAATTACTTTATTATAATCCTATAGAATATAAAGGTACTGTGACTTTAAATGTTCCACCAGGACTCATCTCACGTAGCGTTAAAAGACAAAACACATTACTTTCACTGATCCAATCAGAATCTTACAGATCTGACGGAGGCGTGGTTTTGATGGTGTTTGGTAAGTTTTCATTCGACAATTAACCATAACATCCGAAGTATAAAACTATGCCACGTCATCTCTAACGCCAGTTCAAAGCGTTCCAGAGAAAGTGACGGAGTGGCCAATCCTGATTTAAAACTCTTCAACCGAAAGAACCAACGACAAGCTGAAAAAGTTGTTGCTGTTCCAACAGCGACAACAGTTCCTTTCAGAATAAAAGCTGAACCATCAAGACCCAGGCTTGGGTCTCACCAGACGCCAACAAACTGCCGTGACCCGGAAGTAACTCAGACTGGACTGGTCGGCAACCGCTGCTTTTCCTACCGGCTTGGTTCCAGAGAAAGTCAAGCTAGACCTCACTATTCTGGATCTAAAGAGGACTTCCACGAAGGGTAGGTAGACCAGCAAATGGTGGCTAATGTGTTTATGAACCTCCTAACCAAAGCTTAATGCGAAGACATCACCTTCAGTTCCCGTCAGAACAAATCGCTTCTTTGGATTTTCTGGTTCTGATTAACATCACATGTCATCCATTCTCCGTCTCATCCATTTTAGTTACACCATACATTTAGTTTTAAAGTCAGTCTAGTTTAATTTGTTAGTAATAAAATTCTTAACTGTTAAACTTGACTCTCTCTCTTCTGTTGTCTCTGAGTGAATACGAAGCTGTTACCTAATCCCTGCAATAAAAAGTTCCAATCTTCTGGTTTAAATAACCCCACCAACCCGTAAGCTGGATTTCATATTTCCTATGGAATCCCATGCCTTATGGCTCATTAAATAACCTGTAATTTAAATCATTACACATTTAATGGTGATAAATCTCAGATGTATTTTATTGCACAAAAAAGTATGTACCTCAAGAGGTGTATATTAGATTGTATTTATTATGGTATAGAATATTCAGTTGCAGTTGATTTATTATCACATTGTTTTAGAAAGTAAAGTAAAGTTGTTTCATGACTGGTGAATGTTGCAGTGACATTTGCGTAAAGTTGTTTTATAGTGAGTCATCGATATAGCTTATTGTTTCTTCATGAGAGAGCTAATTTTTCTACGGCTTCTAAAGAAGTGTCAGGAGTTCAGCTAAAAGACATAAATGGGTGAATGACATGAACAAGACAAATTAAAGGATTAGGCTGATTTGTACATGTTCGGACATGTTTTTGCAAATTAAGTCTTATACCGGGAAATAAAATCAAACTGCATTTTTTTCATATTTTCAGTTGGCATAATTATTATAAGTCCCTAAAACGCAGTGGATACTTCAGCCTTCCAGCTGGATAAAAGTTATTTTTTGTTGTTTTCATCTTGTTGAGGTTTTGTGCTCTAAAAAAAAAACATTTTGTTGCAGCATGGAGACTAAACACTAAAGGACCCTTGACAGTCACTATGGGGTCGATTAAAAAATGAAAAATTGTAAAAGACTAAAGCAAACAACATTCCACACTTTTTCCATGATGCCAAGCCACACCATACTCCATCACTGTTTAAAAATGAATCTCAAAGCAAAAAAATAAGTAAAGAAAATTTGTGCTAAAATCTTTAAGTTTCACAATAAAAAAGAACTAGTAGTGCATAAAAATGAACCCAAATGAGCGTCACCTTTCATGTGACATTCTAATTGACTAATACTATGGGATTAGTGCCCTGCCCTGTATAGAAAAGCAGGACTGCAGAGTTGTAAGAAAATAATGCCAGAAAGTATTTATTAGTTGTGCTTTAGTTTCATGTCATATTATCATCATCCTCAATTGTGCTTTGGTTAATTGTGTCATATCATACCCAGCACCTATTATACATTTTCATTCATCTACATGGGGAGACATGTCCTTCCTCTGAAATAGAAATGCTAATATTAGTGTTGGGCACACAGTGACGCCTAGCTTAGTGAACAAGACCAAATTCTTGCTTTGCAAAGTTTGGTTTAGGAACGCTCCACTGGAACCTCTGCAGCCCCTAACAGCATTCTGGTTGGCCAATCACAGCTCTCTAGAGGGGTTTCAAACATATTAAGAGCTGTGATTGGTCCATAATGGTGGGCCAATCGTAGTGCTCTATCTGCTTAGTGAACAAATCACAGAGCCTTATCGGCGTTGTGGGCCAATCAGGGCACTCTATATGCCCGGTGGGTGGGATGATGCAACAGAGTGAACCAAGATGTCGACAGCTCGTTTGAAACGGATTTTACATCAATTTTGGACTATTAGAACTTGGGCTTCATCAGAATCAGGAGGAGATAGATGTATTTAAGTGTTTTTTTTTGGGGGGGGGGGGGGGGGGGGGGATTATGTATTTTCTCCTTCTTCAACTGCGGACCGCCTCATGTACCGATGGCTGTTGCAGCGAGTATGTCACATTCATTGTCCAGTAGCATGCGGAGATCATTTGAAAGACAACAGTAGAGACCTTCCCACAACCGTGAGGCGTCAATGGAGCGTTGCCAGACTAAATAATACATTTATTTAGTCTGGCTTGCCAGGCTAAGTGAAGCCAGTATGTTACTGGGATGTGACCAATCGCATTCTGCATTTACGGGATTTCCAAAGTTTGTCAGAACAGGGTTTTCCGTTTCATTCACTGACTTGCAGGGCCAAGCTCATGCTGCTAGATTTTTAAACAATTAAAAACAAGGTGGGGGACATTGAGTCCGAGTGGGCCTTGTTCCACTCTGCGATTGTCGAGGCGGCTGTTGCTAGCTGTGGTCGTAAGGTGGCCGGTGCCAGTCGTGGTGGCAACCCCCGTACCCGCTGGTGGACACCAGAGGTTCGGGGAGCCGTCAGGCTGAAGAAGGAGGCCTACAGGGCGTGGCTAGTCTGTGGGTCTCCGGAGGCAGCAGACAGGTACCAGATAGCCAAGCGGGGTGCAGCAGTGGCAGTTGCCGAGGCAAAATCTCGGGCGTGGGAGGAGTTTGGTGAGGCCATGGAGAAAGACTATCGATCGGCTCCAAAGAGGTTCTGGCAAACTGTCCGGCGCCTCAGGAGAGGAAGGCAGCAACTCGCTCACACTGTTTACAGTGGGGATGGGGAGCTGCTGACGTCAACTGAGGCTATAGTCAGACGGTGGAAGGAATACTTTGAGGAGCTCCTCAATCCCACCAATGCGCATTCCGAGGAGGAACCAGAGCTGGGAGGCCTGGGGATGGACTGTCCGATCTCGGGGGCAGAAGTTGCTGAGGTAGTCAAACAACTACACAGCGGCGGAGCCCCGGGGGCGGATGAGGTTCGTCCTGGGTATCTCAAGGCTATGGATGTTGTAGGGCTGTCATGGTTGACACGTCTCTACAACATTGCGTGGTCATCGGGGGCAGTTCCTAGGGAGTGGCAGACCGGGGTGGTGGTCCCCATCTTTAAGAAGGGTGACCTGAGGGTGTGTTCCAACTATAGGGGGATCACACTCCTCAGCCTCCCTGGAAAGGTCTACGCCAAGGTACTGGAGAGGAGGGTCCGATCGATAGTTGAATCTCAGATAGAGGAGGAGCAATGTGGTTTTCGTCCTGGCCGTGGAACTGTGGACCAGCTCTATACCCTTGCAAGGGTGATGGAGGGGGCATGGGAGTTTGCCCAACCAATCCACATGTGCTTTGTGGATTTGGAGAAGGCTTATGACCGTGTCCCCAGGGGCGCCCTGTGGGGGACGCTCCAGGAGTATGGGGTGGGTGGCTTTCTGTTAAGGGCCATTCAGTCCCTTTACCAGAGGAGCGTGAGTTTGGTCCGCATAGCCGGTAGTAAGTCGGACCTGTTCCCAGTGAGGGTTGGACTCCGCCAGGGCTGCCCTTTGTCACCGGTTCTGTTCATCACTTTTATGGACAGAATTTCTAGACGCAGCCGTGGTGTGGAGTGTGTCGAGTTTGGTGGCAGGAGAATCTCGTCTCTGCTTTTTGCGGATGATGTGGTCCTCCTAGCTTCATCCAGCTCTGACCTTCAGCTCTTGCTGGGTAGGTTCGCGGCCGAATGTGAAGCGGCTGGGATGAGGATCAGCACCTCCAAATCTGAGACCATGGTTCTCGACTGGAAAAGGGTGGCTTGCCACCTCCGGGTCGGGGGAGAGGTCCTACCTCAAGTGGAGGAGTTTAAGTATCTCGGGGTCTTGTTCACGAGTGAGGGTAGGAGGGATCAGGAGATCGACAGGCGGATTGGTTCGGCGTCTGCAGTGATGCGGACGCTGAGCCGATCTGTCGTGGGGAAGAGGGAGCTGAGCCAGAAAGCCAGGCTCTCGATTTACCGGTCAATCTACGTCCCAATCCTCACCTATGGCCATGAGCTTTGGGTAATGACCGAAAGAACGAGATCGCGGATACAAGCGGCCGAAATGAGTTTCCTCCGTAGGGCGGCTGGGCTCAGCCTTAGAGATAGGGTGAGGAGCTCGGACATTCGGGAGGGACTCGGAGTAGAACCGCTGCTCCTCCGGATCGAAAGGAGCCAGTTGAGGTGGTTTGGGCATCTGGTCAGGATGCCTCCTGGACGCCTCCCCGGGGAGGTGTTTCGGGCATGTCCTGCCGGCAGAAGGCCCCCGGGTCGACCCAGGACACGTTGGAGAGGTTACATCTCCAATCTGGTCCGGGAACGCCTTGGGGTCCTGCCGGAGGAGCTGGTGGACAAGGCCGGGGAGAGGACGGCCTGGAGCTCCCTAATTGGGATGCTGCCCCCGCGACCCGGACCCGGATAAGCGGAGGAAGACGAAGACGAAGACGAAAAACAAATTTTCTCTCAGATACTTGGAACCCATCTGGAATTCTCCTGAAAATAGAAAATCTAATGTAGGGGTATGAGCTAGTGCAAACTAAATGAAAATACAAGTGAAACTTAAAAAATTGCAGTATGGTGCAAAAGTCCATTTATTCCAGTCTTCCATCTGAGAGACCATCTAAAGCAGGGGTGTCGAACTCAAATTCACACTGGGCCAAAATGAAAAACTGGGACTAAGTCGCGGGCCAAACTCAATATTTTTTTTAAAGTGACGGTAAATGTGCACATTTTCCTTTATCTACAGATATGAACGTTTGAACCTTTTCATTTGGAAACAAACTTATTTTTGCAGTAACGCTGAATGTGGAATAACCAAATTACACATGAGCAAGTCGATTTTAAATAAAGCACACATCAGTGGTATTCGTTACCACAGGTGGAAAGTAACGAATTACATTTACTCACGTTACTGTAATTGAGTAGTTTTTGTATATTTATACTTTTGAAGTCGTTTTTAAAATCTGTACTTTTACTTTAACTTGAGTATGGTTTTAAAAAAAGAATTGTAATTCGCAACATTTGAAATCATATCCGTTACTGAGTAAAAAAATTTTTTAGGCTTAATAAATAAAAAATCTTGCGTGTTGCAGCATGAGTGCCGTGTCTAAACGGGGGGGGGGGGGGGGGGGTAGTATATATATATATATATATATATATATATATATATATATGTAGTTTATAGCCAATGTGCGCTTTGAAGGGCACAAACTTCTTTTAAGACACTTGATTCTTTCACGGGCCACATAAAATGAAGTGGTGGTCCACATCTGGCCTGCGGGCCTCGTGTCTGACACGTGCTCTAAAGGCTCAGGAACCCTTAGCAGGTGTTCTGGATTCATTAGATGATTAGAATGTGACACTTTAGGTCTAGATTGTTGAATCTTTTCACAATATTTGTCTGAGATTTTGAATATGAGGTTTTTCATAAGCTTTAAGCCATAATCATCACAATTATAATGAATAAAGGCTTGAAATATCTGACTTTAACAAGTCTATCTCATATATACAGTAAGTTCGCTGCTTGAAAAACCAGCATTTAATCACCAGGATCCAATGCTAGTAACCAACTCTGCTGGTCTATGCTAGTTTTTTTTTATTATATTTATTTATTTATTTTCTCCGTGTCCTGTCTGGCTGTGAAGCAAACAGAATTAATGTCTGAATGCTGGTGACAAGCCTTACAGATTTACTCTCAGGTGGAGCATCAAAGCGTCTGCTTTTAATGTCACGCCTGATACTTAAAACTTTAATGTTATTGATTTTTGAATGCTTGTAATTCCGACCAGACACGGAGACAGAGGTGAAAGAGAAAGGAAGAGACAAAGGGGGGTGGGGTGGGGGGCACAAAAATAAACAATCATTGATGAACAAGAGTCTGCTTCTAGACCTGCAGAAAAGGGATACACAACAATACAACAGGAGCAAGCTATCACTGCGTCAACCTGATGAGGAAATATAAAATCAACATTGTTTTACTGAACAGTCACAATTACTCACAGTGCAATTAGTGCCAACCACAGCCTTAAGACATGTGTTGAACGTGCCCAAGTTCATACTTATGAGAACACCATGTGAGCACCTGTGTGCTCTTGTATATGTAAGGTTTCTCTATAGGAGCGTCCAATAGGGAGTGTGAGGGGCCACAGATCTGCCCCACAAAGATGCATAAGAGAAGGAAGGAGCTCCAAGTCTCAGAGATCCAGGAGCTGCCCCAGAAGAAGAAGAAAATATCATTTCCATAGCGCCTCTCAAGATAAAAATCATGAGGCGCTTCACAAAAACAAAAAATATAAAAAAGCATTTAGAAAATTTTTAAAAATATATTTAAAATGACCAAAAATAGACAATTGTGATTAAAAAAACTGTTAGGAAAGAGAGAGAGTGAATAGGAAAAAGGGAAATCAGTGGAGGGACCCCAGGCAGACTGCGATCAGAAAAGCCCCTGCGACCCTCAAGAGGTCTATGCTAGTGTTTGCAGCAGGGTTTTACTTCAAGTTGGAAATAAATTAACTTTTGCATAATATTCTAATTTTGGGGAGTTTCACCTGTAAACAGCAAGGTAAGATCATTTGTGATTAAAGTGCAAAAGAAAATTAGTGAAACAAATATAGCATTATTTATTTTTGCAAAGAACAATTTCTGTGAGATTTTAGCATAAAATCTACACAAGTCCTTGCTTTATTTTTTCCAACTCATCACATTAACACAGTGAAACTTTATGAACTTGGCTGCATTAACTTACCTGTAACCTCACCTAGTATGTTTTTAGGGTGTTGCGCTGCGATCTGTTGTATGCATGCAAAAGGGAAGCTCTTAAATGAAAAATCCGATCCTTGTCTTATGTTATGTTACACACTTATAACTCTTGTAAAATGTGCTTAAAGTACAGATAACAAGCAGGAAATGTTCGAGTAAATTCATTTTATTTTCATGTAACACTAAATCTGAAAACAATGCCAAGAAAGCTTTTCACCAGGGAAACAGATGTACAAAGGCCTATTTAGAAGTTTTGGGCCAAAAAAAAAAATCTAATTGGAAAGTGGCAATATTGTCATATACAAATAAAACTCTTTCTAAAAAAGATCTAAGCAAACCTAAAGTCAAAGTCATATTAACTGCAACTGAGTGTTATCCAAACATGACATTTTCTTTTTAAAGACCACTTCAAGGGTTTCATGTAAAACGTGACAGAATGATGTTATACCAAAAATATTTTAGGAAAAACTGTAAATGCGCATCAGTCATAAAATATGATTAGTATGGTTTTGTTGTTCAAAATAAACAAATTATCCTCATAGAAATACAAATCAGACATGGTCATACATTCAAATAACAAGCCATAAAATCTTGTTTGAGCTGGTTTCCATGCAACAAGCACGATGTTTCAACAGGTCCTTTATGTGATCAGCCTTTGTGTGTTTGGCTAGAGCAGATCTGCATTGGAGGCAAGGTTAAAGATAACAATCGACATATTCAACGGCCTTCAATAGTTTCCAAAAAAAGATTTTTATATTTCATTTTCCTTTATGTTGTTTTAAAATGACTTTTTCAAATCTAATAAACTACTCATGAGCTAAAAAAGAACACACACACACACACACACACACACACATATATATATATATATATATATACTCAAAGTTGTAATAACTGTTGATGTTCTTCACAAATCTTCTTCATCTTTGCCATATTTCGACATTACACTAAGCTAACATTATTCCAAAAATGCGTCATCATCTAGTTTGGCAGCAACATGCTGGCGGAACGTAAATGAAAACATGAAACTGATTCATTGTTATTAAAATACAAAGAAGTCTTTGTAATATGGCTTCCAGTTGCCAATTTTTGATTTAGAACAGTAATCACAACTGACTCAAGGTTGTTTCAACCTATCCAAGCAGTGTTAGGTTTCATAAGTACCGGTAAGTAAACTCGGAGACAAAAACGGCCTTCGGCCAAAAATACTGAATATAAAAAAATTCTAATATCCCCCTCTGACTTACAAAGATTCATGGTGAATTCTTTAAATCCTTGAAGGCATAATTTGATGTCATACTGATGCCAAAATGAATACAATAAGCTTTGCACTCCCATCACACTGGATTAGGACCCTGTTATGGTCTTCACAACCAATTATAATATGAATGATTCACAGGAAATTAGCAAAATCTCCTTCAGAGAGAAAAAAATGTCCAAATAATCAACACACACTACATCGATATTTTACCACATGGTCTTTCCATAAGAAACCCTTTCCCACAAGGATCTAAACCCATACAGACATGATCGTACGATATCCCAGACCCAATCTGGTATGGCCTATCTTAGACTAAGCTAGGATTCATGTACCATTGAATAGTTATAAAAACTTAAAGCTACAGCTTTAACATTGATCTCGGTCATTGTTGAGTTAGAAACTTGACCTGTTTCGTATTTGTCCCCATTCAACAGAGGCCAACGACTCATCAGGGGATGGAGAGGCGGGGTACCCAGAGTAGTTTTGGCTCGTTAAATAACAATAGACAGCTACAGTTTATAAGCTTGACTCTCCCATATTCCAGTCAGAATAGGCAAAGCTCCTCGGATGAGAAGCGAAACTTCTTCAAGAAATCAAAGAAGTCCAGTTGCCTTCATTTGAACCTTTTGGATTCAATAGCCCTCAACTGGCCAGATACTGCACTTAACAGTTTTGTAGAGCGGGTAGGCGCTCTATGAAGGGAGCTCTTTACCTGTTCATGGCTGTTAGCTGCGGTGCTAGTAGTTAGCTTTTCAGTTTTCCGATTGTCAATAAAAATCACAAGACGAAAGAAAAGAAGACATTTGCCTTTTGTTGGCATCGTGGCGGAGCCTGGAATTTAAAGCATAAGAGTAATGTTTTTGGAGACAAAGCAAAGAGCTAAAACCAGAATGAACATTGGCACGGTCTACAAAATCATGGACCGATGGTGACCTGGCTTAGCTGCTAATGGACTTGTACGTAATGTTTTTAGTCCAACAGCATGGATATTTTTACTTCATGGTTTGTTTTGGTATTAGTTGGCTCCTGTTAGTGTTAGTTTGTTGTTAACACGAGCTTCAGCAGGCTGCAACGTGTTTATGACCGTTGTAATTTCCACTTTCAACCAGTAGGGCTACTGGTTACTTTACTGTGTTACTTTATGTATGCTCTATAAGATCATGCTAGCTCTATGCATGCAAGCATAAAATGTTTGGTGCCAAGAAACCATTACCACCATTGCCACCATGCTTTGTTTACGACCCTGCTGCTGGAATAAAGTCCTTGCCACAGCACAATGGATGCTTTAAGCCGGGCGTACACTGTGCGACTTTTTCACTCGCAGCGTTCAGCTTCAGCTCAAACTGTACGACTTCCTCGCAGGGCAGATCTCACGAGTCATGTGCTCACACTGCACAACCCAGTTCTCGCATGCGACCTGACTGCTCACACTGTACGTCTGGTAGCAACACGTCGGCCCTAAAAATATGCTAAAAATAGCAGTTTTTACTCAACATGTCAGACTTTTTTGTCTTGCCTGTTGTCCTTCGGGAGTGCTGCAGGAGGACACACAGGGATTTATGGGGGTTGGATGAGGAAAACGAAATAAAGAAAGTGAATCTGTGTTTTGTGATCAGTTTAATTTGACATGAACACGACAAACACGCTTTCTTGACAATCTTTGTGAGTAAAAAAACGTGTAGAAACAAAAATGAACAGCGTGTGTTATTAGGGAAATAGCGAGCGGCGTTGATGCAGGATTGCGCATGGGCCGTGAGCGGTTCTGATACATTTTGGGTCTCAGCTGCTCGCAGCGCCGCTTCAACAGTGCGATACCCTCACGAGGGACGAGCGAAATATCAAACACTCCAGAAGTCCGTGCGACCTCACGACTCCTGATCGGCAGCTGGTCACGTGGTGTTAATCGCCTCTCGTAACCCCCTGTACACTACACGACCGCTCGGCGCAAAACTCGCCCCGATGTCGTGGATTCTCGCACGAGTGGAAAATCGGCTCAAAAAAGTGAAAAAGTCGCACAGTGTACGCCCGGCTTTATGCACGATCAAAACCATCAATAAAGTATACCCAGCTGAAAAACTAACGAAGTCCTGCTTATCTATAGCCATGTTTTCACTATAGGAGTTCTGGGAAATTCCTGGGAGGGAGAAAAGTGAATGAGAGATATGATGGCTTGGTCCTCTCAGCCCTTTCAGGATTTTCCTAAGATGTAAGCATACCACTCCTTCTACAGTGAGTGATGTCAGTGATCAATGACAGAAGGTGTCCACAGTAAAAATAAGATTCTGTAAAAGTACACCGTTATTTAACCCATTTAGTGGATGGGGAGAGCTCCTATGTGATGTAAAGGCGGAGTTCAATAACAAGGTGAAGCACCATCTTTTACAGCTCTCTTTGAGACCACTAAGTGAAATGAATTATGGTATTGTCGTGGATTCCCACTGCATTTTTCAGTGTAGCAGCGATTATTGAGCATCAACACTGCTTATATTATTTTTCTTCTTTTCTGCTTCGCCAACAAATGTCAGTTGTTTGGCGACGTCTGCCAATGTCATTTCCTACAGAGTTACAATCAGCATGAGTTAACCCCAAGTCCCACCCTTGGAGCGGACTCTACCAGGCCGCTCCAAGTACATACTTAAGTTCAGGTACTCTGTTGGTTGCTGAAATAGCCCAGAAAATAGTTCATTTGAGCCGGGTCGGTGGAAAGGAGACACACTCATGCCTCAAAGGTCTGGTAAAACATCCTGGAAATTCCGATAGTGGAAACTGGCCACATGTTTCCTATCATAGTAAGACCATATTCCCATGAGAAGTGGCCCTTGTAAAGGAACACTGCATAAAGACCACTTCCCTGCTATAACGTGCCCCCGATCCACCCCAGTTTTGGTTTTTACAGTTTGAGTTTCTATACTTGCCATCAGAAAAAATATTGCCAAGGAAAAAATACATAAAATCCTGTTTGCTGCTTGTGTTGATGCTGTAAAAGTCAAAAAATAAAAGTAAAAAGAACACTTCTTTTTAGAACAGGGAGGAAAAGTCATATATACAGAACCAAACATTTGCATCACTATGTGGAAAAACTGGAATAGCCAAAGTTCCTACAAATTTTCTTTGAGCCATTTAATATAGTTTGCTGTCATGCGGCGTGCAATCAGAAAGTCCGTTGGCCACACGGTGAACATCAGGGCTCCGTGAAATCCTGTGTCGTAGTGTTCGTGCGTCACCTCGACACCGGCTGCGTGGAGCCGCGTGGCGTACATCATTCCGTCATCTCTGAGAACGTCATACTCACATGTCAGAATGTAGGCCTTGGGTAGGGAGTATAAATGTGTGTCTGGGACCAACAAGGGCGATGCCCTGGGGTCGGCAAAAGACCGAGAAGGTTCGTCTATCCCATCAACCCTCACTTCCACTTCCTGTGCCACAGCAGGAGTACTGTAGTTGTAGTCTTTATGATAAGTTTCTGGTAAAAAGGTGCTCCAGTTGACAAACTTGAGAAGCTTCGAGGTCTCAGGACTGTTGTGTGTGTTTGCCATCATGGCTCTAAAGAGGGTCTTGTCACTAGTGAAATACTCACTCCAGAACCGCACCATGAGAGTACGTGGCAGAATGGGCATGTCTTGATTCTGCTGGTATGATGGTGTGTTGAGGTCTAAAGCCTGCAGGGCAGGGTAGAGGAGGGCTTGAGCTTTTAACTTGATCTTCTGTCCAGGCTCTTTCTGCAACTGTAACAAAAACCAAAACAAATGAACTTCATCTAAAGGAAAACCGAATGCAGTTTAGGGTTTCAAAGAAACAAGAAGAGGAAATGGCTGTTGAAAGATTGCATAAAATATAGCAGGGCTGCCAAATTTGTGAGACATACGCATCTGATGGTTAGCACAGGCTCTCACTCCTCAAGTCCAATTTCTCAAGCTGAACGTAAAGTAATTTAATTGGACCTAAAAGCACAATTATCACCATAAAAGCATTACTTGTGATAAAGAGGAAAATAACTTCATGTTTAGTGAGTTGGTGACCGTCGTGAATTCTCAGTTCAGCATCTGAAACAGATTTCCATCATGTTGACTTTGAGCCCCTTCTTCCAGCACTCTGTCAAAAGGTCCAGCAAGAAATCAAAAGTACTAGTTTCCCATCTGTACCTTAACTGTTTTGGACTTTTATAATAAGGAGTAGTAAATGTTTGGAGCAGATTGCGTCTAAAGTTCGTGTGTTTTCCATTATCCAGACTGACTTGTATAATCATGTCTAGAAGAGTAACTTGGAATGGTCAGAGAGTCTGAAGAGGCCATGACAGCGTGGGTGCTACAGATATAATACTACATTTAAGTCTTAAACCAGCTCTCATTTAGTTACATTTTTAGTCAAGCGAGTCATTCTTTCTTGTCAGACTTTATAGTTGTCAAAGAAACATTGGGGGTCTTGTGTTGTTTTCTTTCAAAGTGTTTTTTTTTTTGTTGACATTTTCTGTTGATCTTCACTTGATTCCAGAACCATTTGTGTAGTCGCTGGTGTTGACCACTTCAAGAAGTAACGTGCTGCTGACGGCTCCGGTAGAAAGAAGGGGTGAGTCCTTTTCTACAACAATCACCCAAAAAAAATTTAATTTTCACCTAATTCAAGGGACAAACCACTATTGTGTTTCACTTTTGTAAAAGAAAATACTGAAATATGAACATCAAAGGTGCCCAAGAGGTGGCCATCCCTAGAAATATTCAGAATAATAAAAAATAATAATTTTTATATATATATATATATGTGTGTGTGTGTGTGTGTGTGTGTGTGTGTGTGTGTGTGTGTGTGTGTGTGTGTGTGTGTGTGTGTGTGTGTGTGTGTGTGTGTGCACTAACAGACAAGGATGTAAACTCAACTAGTTTTGTTTTTGTTTTTTTAATAACTTTGATGAAGGCTGAGGATGGAGATGAACTGCCGCGTCAAGCGGACTAGCAGCCCTCAGATTAGCAGCGAACATCAACAAAGATACTTTATTAATCCCAGAGGGAAATTAGAGTTTCAGTACACACAATTCAGAGATCAGACATTAATTTATTTCACGAGGAAGACAGGGACAGGGATAAATGTGATGTGTTTTTACTAGTTATTGATAATCTTGATGGATGGGTATTTCACCCTGGAGGATGCTCGCCTTCCACTGTAGTGTAAAGTGAGATAATTATTAACAATATTAAAGCTCCGATGTGTGATTATGTGTGTTAAAATTACATTATTTATTTATTTATTTATTTATATGAGCGTCGGCGTTCAGAGATCTTCTCATTCCGGTGTGAGAGCAGCAGCTGAACCCGGTAACGCCACCAGCAACAGAAGCTGGTAGGGATCCGGACTTTTTAAAAATCAGCTTTGGTGTAAAGTGAAACGCTGTTTACAACATAAAGTTATAAATCCAGCGGGGTGAATTTAGGCAAAGTCAGCAACATGTTTACATCGGTGAACAGCTGCAGAGAGAACGTAAGCTAACGTTGGTAAGCTAACATACCGCTATCTATGAGCCACCGCTAGATGCGCTACTTCTTCTGATAACTGAACTGGGCATGAACTAGTTAAAGGAATGCTGGAGGAGTTTTGTTTTTGTTTTGATTGCAAAAACAATTTCAGGCTCTACTTTTCCCTTTGTTTAGTAATTGTGTTGCTAACTGTTTACATGCTTTTGCTGTCCACCATGGTGGACCCACGTGATTAGGTGATGTCGGTGCAAAGGGTCAATAACACATCATGGGCGTAGACACACACCCGTAAATTTCCATCACCCAACCCACTTCAGTGTCTGCAGCGTTGGTGCCGGTATGCTAACTGTAGAACATCGCTAGCATGATCACTGCTAACAGCCTTTGTCAGATGAGAGGAAAGCAATGTATGATGTCGGAGCGCACTTGTAACGTTCCTGGGCTTACTGGGACTATCAAGACTTTGAATGAATGCCAGATAGATCCATGTCCTAGAACAACCAAAGTTTAGTCTTTGGATCTTGAGGATTCCTGTTTTAGTTGTATTTAACCATCACTGACATTGGACACCTGGTGTCTCAGGTTCTTTGATCTGTGTGTGGATACAAAATCATTCCATTGGAATCATGTTTTGAGTCATTTACATGCGATTCCAGTAGAGCTTGGTTGTGATCCATGTGAAGGTCAGGAGATTGTATCTGAGAATGGACTAAAAACCTTAACCCAGATCTCTGTTACAAAATTAAATTCCAACGAGATTATTTGCAGAACTCGCGGCCTTGCTGAGGATTATTCTTCAATTCCTCATGTTATCTCTTCATGAGCCCTGTTGTCCACCACATGACCAAGAAAATTCTTCTTTATTAGCTTGTATGTTGAAATACAAGACGTGCAAATATTTATACTTTTCTTCATTAGCAACCGAAAGCTATTAAATAGGAGGCAATGCATTCACGCAAATATTCACTACTTTATTGCAGATTAATCTTTACGTCAGTGATGGCAATAATGGTCTGGTTGCTGATTATATGGCAACCCGATAGCAGAGAGAGCCATAAAAGCTCCTTTCACTTGGCGTGATGTAGTTAATTTTGTGCAGTTGGGCTTTATGCATTTCTATTTTTACCCTTCTCTAAAATAAAACAATCTGTTAGCAGTGTGGGATGTGTTGTTGCTGGAATCCTTTTGTCACCAGAAACTAAACTTTACCTCATTAACCAACTCAAAATAAAGGTTTCTAAAATATGTTTTGGCATCTGTGTTTCCACTGAAAGTCTTTGTTGTTCTTTTTGGTACTTTTTGGGTTTAATTACTGGTTTCAGAACATTCAGCAGCTGCGCTGTGATCAGGAACAGGTTTGACCCAAGATTCAAGCAGCATGAACTCTTTGAGGACAACAGTTTAAGATCCTCCCTCACAGACCACGATTATGACAAACCTCTCTCTCTGAGAGATAAACACTCAAACAGTTGTTCTACATTATTAATGTCAGCCAGTGTTTTTATATTAGGCGTGAACACTTTATTACTTTTCCCAAATCTGGCAGCCGATCACTGCAAAAGCTAATAGATAGAATAGAATAACTTTTATTTTCATTGCAACGAGTACAATGAAATTAGATGCAATCCCCGTGTCCGAAATTGAAAACAAATAGTTGGATAATAGATGATCTTGTGGTTCCAGGAGACACTGCGTTTGTTATTTTTTCAAATAGCTCTGTGAAGAAAAAACATAATAATTGGACCCGCTTCTTGATTATAAAGCCAAAATAGATTCAGTTACCTGCTGGGAGACAGCAGCTGCAAGGTTCCCTCCAGCACTATCCCCCGACACAGCAACACGCCTTGGGTCCACAGAGAACCGGGCCAGCACCCCCATCTGGAGGAAATGTTTGACCACACGGTAAACATCCTCATACGGGACAGGGAAGTGGTGGGCGGGGGCGAGGCGGTATCTGTCAAAATCCAGAACCACAAACATGATGATGTAATCAACAGTAAATATGTTTTTGCTGTCTTAGATGGAGAGAAGGTGTTATTTTTATTTATTTATTATTCAACAAAAATGTTATCAGATATTTAGTTATTAACAACATATATATTGTTTGTTATATATATATATATATATATATATATACACACACATATATATGTATATATATATAGCAAATGCTACGGGCGATGCCTGAGCGTGAACGCGCATGAAGCAGCCTGCTCGACCCGAGCAACTCTCTTTTTCTGTGATTTTACAGAAAAACAGGCAATCCCAGTAAAAATGCCAGGGCTCATTCTACAGGACCAGGGCATTGCAGGAGAATGTATGAAGAAGAAATTTATTATTTCTATACATGTTTTGACTGTCAAACTTCCTTAGAGTCCCTTTAAGTATCTCGGGGTTTTGTTCACGAGTGAGGGAAAGATGGAGCGTGAGATCGATGGGCGGATTGGTGCTGCATCTGCAGTGATGCGGGCGTTGTACCGGTCTGTCGTGGTGAAGAGAGAGCTGAGTCAGAAGGCGAAGCTCTCGATTTACCGGTCGATCTACGTTCCTACCCTCACCTATGGTCATGAGCTTTGGGCAGTGACCGAAAGAGCGAGATCGCGGATACAAGCGGCTGAAGTGAGTTTTCTCTGCAAGGTGGCTGGGCTCTCCCTTAGAGATAGGGTGAGAAGCTCAGTCATCCGGGAGGGGCTCGGAGTAGACCCGCTGCTCCTCCACATTGAAAGGAGCCAGTTGAGGTGGCTCGAGCATCTGGTCAGGATGCCTCCTGGATGCCTCCTTGGTGAGGTTTTCCAGACACGTCCAACCAGGAGAAGGCCTAAAGGAAGACCCAGAACACTCTGGAGAGATATGTCTCACAGCTGGTCAGGGAACGCCTTAGGATTCCCCCGGAGGAGCTAGCCCAAGTGGCTGGGGAGAGGGTAGTCTGGGCCTCTCTGCTTAGGCTACTGCCCCCGCGACCCAACTCCAGATAAGCAGCTGAAAATGGATGGATGGATGGATGGATGGATGGATGGATGGATGGATGGATGATGGATAGATGGAATGAATCTGAATAACTGAAATGCCAATTTCCAGCTTTATTAAAGGTGCGAAACACTTGTTTCATAAACACATTTCCAGTGGTCTCTAGTAGGAATGAATGCCTTGTAAGTTGTACTCTGGGGAAGAAAAACACTGGTGCACCTGTTTCAGGAACTAGAAGTGATTCACATCCCAGCTGAGATTCAGACGGTGGGATCTGTGGTCCTTTTTCCTGATATTTGGACATCTTGCCTTGGATCGGATAACAGCAACGCAACTCCGCCGCTGAATTGCAACATTGATGATTTATGTCTACAAACAACACAAACCTGAAGAAGTTCTGCTGCGAGGTGGAGTTGCTAATGCTAACGATTAGTTTCTACTAGCCAAGATGTTCTCTGTTGTTTCCTGGACTCTAAATCAACAACAAATTTCCCCGTCGTGAGTCAAGATGGGTGAGTCCATGAATGTTAAGTGACAGTGTGACGCAGATCTGTCGGGACTTTCTAATCCTAGACTTTCACCGTCTGTTTTCTATCAGAAGCTAATGCAGGAGATAGGTGTAGGAGACTATTTTCATGTTCAGCCTGCATGAAAAACTCAGAGTGACTGATTATAATCAGAAATAATCATTAAAAATGTGTTTTTCAGTGTTCCACACCTTTAAGGCTTTAAACAGCTTTTCTTAAAGAACGATGTAATAATTATGTTGGGAAAAAACAAATACTTACTCTACAGAAAGGACTACTGCATTCAGCTCAGTGACGATTTTTCTGGCCAGGAGATCATACGGACTCATTCCTGCACAGACAGGGAAATTAAAGCAAACATCACAGCAATTGTTCCTGAAACGACATCATCCTACACGAACCGCCTGCAGACAGAGAGGCGAATCAGTCCCGCAGGGCTCGCTGTGTGATTGTTTCGATTTCAGAAGAAGCTTAAACCCACATCATCACACTGATGACTCCACTTAGAGCTTCTCACATCTTCAGCTGACAGATTCAATCAGGAATTTAAAAGCTGTATAGTTTTTTAGCGTTTACAATGCACTTGTAATTTTTGATTTCAGTAGTTAAGTCTTGCTAAAAGCACGTCAATCAAAAATAAACAAAATAAAAGCAGCGATGATCCAGTCACACTTTCCTTTAAACTCCATAAAAAGGAAACAGAAACTCACGAGAACTCCCCAGACACCATCCTCCGCCGTGCAGGTAAATAACAGCTCTTCTGAGATCAGCGTTGCCACGCTGCTGCTTCGGCTGGTACAGCATCACCTCCACCCCATCCAACGTCTCTTCTGTCACCTCAACATACTCATCAGACACAGGTGCAATCCTTTCTAAGAAAGTAATGGCATACATTACCCCCATATAGTCCTTCAGGCCCATTAATTCACTAAGATCCGCCTGGAAAAAGAAAAAAAAACGATGATATGATGTAGAAATGTGGGTGCGTCACAGATTTAGTCACTTTAAAACTCTAATATTAACCTGCTGTTTAGTTTACATGAAAAAAATAATAAATCCTGTGTGCAAAATTCAAAGTAGAAAAGTCTGGAGATGCGAAGACAGGAAAAACACGAGTGGTTACATGAATGTAGCCGAGGAAAAGGTCAGCAGCTCCCTAAGGTTATCAAGCTTGAGAAGTCACAATTAAAGGTTGATTTAGAAAGGCCTGAATGATCCAATCAGCTGATGTGCATTCACTCTGACCCCAACAAACCCAGTCACACCATGTACAATCACACACTCATCCCAACAGCTCCACCTTTCCGCTGCATCACCGATTCGCTTTCAGTCAAATCAAATGAAAAATATAAAACTTTTGAATGCAATTCCAATCGGTCGCTGCATCCCACAGGAGAGCTCTTTCTGCAAAAGCGCCAGGATTTTTGTCAGGTTGCTGCATTCTGTGGGGAAAAATGTGTTGCTTGAATTTAACCAACATGCTTCAAAGATGTTCTCGTGTTCCCAGTTAGCTCCCAAACTTGACCTTAGCTGAGATGATCTCCAGAAACTAAATGAAACTGGGAAATAGCTTTTGAGAATATATGAGAAACTCCACCAGCAAATTGTTGGGTCTGCAATAAAATGTATGACAGGAAATCTAATCATTCTAATTAATAAGCACTTTATTTCTGTTCCTTTTCTAACATTAATAATTCTATAAATCTGTGCAGCATGGCCCTTATAGGATTCAGATGCTTAGTTAAATAAATAAAAAACGTTTTCTGTTCACTTTTCTTTTTATTTATTTATTTATTTATTTTTTGTAATAACTGCAACATCATTTTGCCTGAACCTGACGTGGATCTTTTCTATTTCAGAGCAACAGAGCCCTATTTGCTGGATGGGCCGTATAAGCACATACATCTGAGTGCCATAAACGGAGGTGAGTTAATAGGATCTATTATTAGAGCAGGTGAGCAGGACTATACAACACATTATTATGGATTAGCATCTGACATAATCTGGTGCAACCAGCATGCATATCTACATCAGCAAAATACAAACACATAAATAGATACCCGCGCATGCTTTAATGCATCTATAGAATCAAATCACATTTTAATAATTAAAATAAACATTTAGCACATTTGGACACGCTCGTGCGTAAAACTCAAAGTCAATGATTTTTAGGGCAAATCTACATATGAGAGGCGTTTGATCCTACCAGGTGACTGAGAGTTCTGAAGAACGAGTTGGTCAGCATGAGTTTCCATCTCTCCTCTATCTCCTCGGGAATTGGCTCATAGATGTAATAAGCGGTAAAGGAGCAGAAAGCGACGATTAAAACGATGCCGCCCGGCCTCATTTTTACCGCTGCGTGGTCTGCGGGCTGCGCAGAGTTGTGGAAAAAGTCCCGAACAGCTCAAAACAGAGCGGAGTTAAAGCTTCCAGCACGTGCTCGGTGTCATTTGATGGTTATCGGTGTGCATTTGCGGGGCTTTTCCTCGCCGTGTGTGCGCGTCCCGCAGTGCATGGCTGTCTCGCGGAGCGGCGGAATTAATTGAAGTGTCAGCTCTGATGTGGAAGGCGCGCGCATTTTGGGCGCTCACGAGGCAGCAGCGCCGTCCCACCTGACCTCAGGTGCTTCGTCACGCACTGAAGTTTAGAAGAAAACACGCATCCGGTCCTGTTGCGAAGAACACGCTGACGGTAGTTTGGAAGAGCGGTGAGGATAAACAGCTGTGGTTGCAAGGAGGCTAAGCTAATTATATGATTGGTGTCGGATTCCTGGGTTGGACGTACTGTAAAACAACACGACTCTGGTGCATATCAATCACTGCAGGAGGGGCCATGAGGGGAGTTAAATTCAGCAGAAAAAAAAAGTTTTGTCCAGTGCCATTGAGCTTTTGGAGGAAACGTAATTCTGAAAGTCTTGATCTGAGTTCCTCTGTTTTGGAAACAGTGAAGCCAGTCGGAGTCACAAAAGCTGCTTTAGGATCAGCTTTCCCAGAATAACATGTCCAACAGCCCAAAATCATGCACGCAACAAGTTCAGGGAGGCAGGAGCGTGAACTGCTACAGTCAACAGCGGAGACGGAGCAGCAGACAGAAGTTGGCCGGTGATGATGGAGAAAAAGCCGGCAGAGTCTAGGGCGCCGGCCACGAGGGGGCACGAGCCGGCAGAGAAGCTTTGGGTGCATTGTTCACTTTGCAAGATTGATGAAAAAGCAACATCTAAAGCTAAAGAGGGCTTCATTTACAGAGTGAATGGACTCACCCTGATGGATAAGATGAGGAGTACTGAGCAGAGTCGCTGCTCCTCCTCATCAAAAACAGCCATTTGAGGTGGTTTGGACATCTGGTAGTGGCGCAGCAAGGGTGTATTGCAGTTAGCGCTGCCCCTCCCAAGCAAAAACAAAATTTGCTGTTCAGTGCCGACGAGGAAGTGCATAATTTGTCACACCGAGGAGGGGGTGCATGGACAAGGAAATGGTTGAGCAGTTGGGAGAGAGAGGGGGAGGACCCCATTTGGGAGTGTGAGACAGCCAACAGTGCTTGTCACAGCATTTCACTGTCTCACTACTGTTGAGGTTCTAACTTGGTTCACAGTTTGTCGGCACCTCAGAGGCCCCCAAGCAATTGCTAAAATGGTAAAAATGCTTAAAAAACAATTGCCTGCCCTTCCTATCAACATGCAGCATCTCTGGGCAAGGACACCATCTAAATGCCTTACCCAAGATGTGTTTCAGACATACCTCATCAGGAGCAGACCTCAGGGCAATCTAAAAGATCGTGTCTTGTAGGGAACACCTGCCGTCCCTCCAGGTGAGCTAGAGGAGAGGGAGGTCTGGGGATTTCTCTGCTTAAGCTGCTGCCCCACGTGACCTGGCTCCGGATAAGTGACAGAGGATGGATGGATGCTACAATGCTCTTAAAGAGATTCACAATCTCATTCCATCATCCATAGCTTGATGAGGGTTGGATCTGTTGATGACTCAACAGATTGACTTTTTAACTCAGCTTTTTCTTAATGATAACAGATTAGTATAGTAAGCGAACACATCTCTGGAGGTCCGCCATAGTCCTCCTATTGATATCCCGCTCCATTCTGCTCTGCTAAGCTTCAGTAGGCTGCCCCTGCATCCCAAACATTTTACCCTAAGTTATGAACAAGACCCCAAAACACTTGAACTCCTCCACCTGGGACTAAGGTTCATTCCCAACTCTGATTTGAAATCTACATTTTTAACCCTCCCACTGTCTTTATGGGTGACCCCGCGAGGCAAGATGAACATTGAGGTCCGCCAGGCTTTGCTTGGCCACCCGCTAGCCTAAGCGTCATGCCCTGCCCCCCTCCCCGACCCTACCGTGTCCGCTGACACGAACGGCGCAACGAAACTAGAGCCCTCCATCAGCTGATACTGGTGAGAAACGGCAGCGGAACGTGTGCAACCCCCCCCCCCCCCCCCCCCCCCCGACGGCCAAATTCGCCAGGCTTAACTCATTTTCTGGGGGAAACCCTGCATTAGGGCAGTGGGAGGGTTAAAGAACTAACCCTCTCACATTTAAAATGGCCTGTATTTGACATAGCGCCTTCCAGAGTCCTGGAACCCCCCAAGGCGCTTTACAACACAATCAGTCATTCACCCATTCACACACCCATTCACGCACTGGTGGGGATGAGCTACGATGTAGCTACAGCTGCCCTGGGGCGCACCGACAGAGGCGAGGCTGCCGAGTACAGGTGCCACCGGTCCCTCCGACCACCACCAGCAGGCAAGTTGGGTTAAGTGTCTTGCCCAAGGACACAACGACAGCTACAGACTGAGCGGGGTTCAAACCTGCAACCTTCCAATTATGGGGGGAGCAATTAACTCCTGTGCCATCGTCGCCTGCTGTAGGTCTCGGCTTCAAGATGCTAATAGGACAGCATCGTTTGCAAAATAAAGTTACGCAATCTATTGCTTACCAACCTGGAGACCCTCCGCCCCTTACCAGCCGCTAAAAATTTTATGAACTGTCGATGGCCAGCTTGAAGGTGTCAAACATGTACAGAAATCATTCATTTTATTGGAAACCATCAACAAAACTGTTTCTCCATTGTATAAAATGAGGACCTTGGTGGTTCAGGAATATCTAAGAGCAGAATAAATGCTTCTCTTCATCAAAGCCACTGGAGGTGGTTTAGACCTGTGACATCATGGGCCTCCTCTCCTCTGGGGCGACGGTGCCACAGGAGTTAAGTGCTTGCCCCGTAATCGGAAGGTTGCAGGTTCGAGTCCCGCTCAGTCTGTCGCTGTTGTTGTGTCCTTGGGCAAGACACTTAATCCACGTTGCCTACTGGTGGTGGTCGGAGGGACCGGTGGCGCCAGTGCTCGGCAGCCTCGCCTCTGTCAGTGCGCCCCAGGGCAGCTGTGGCTACATCGTAGCTCATCACCACCAGTGTGTGAATGTGTGTGTGAATGGGTGAATGACTGATTGTGTTGTAAAGCGCCTTGGGGGGTTCCAGGACTCTAGAAGGCACCATATCAAATACAGGCCATTTACCATTTACCATCATAGGTTAGTGTTTCAAGTACTTCCCACCTAAAAGCGGCCTTGCAGAGGACCAAAGCTTTGTTGAACTATTCAAATCTAAAGGCTGGTCTGGGAACACTAAAGGTGTTATCCAACATAGTTTTGGACAAAAAGATGAATGGAATCCATTTTGACAATCCATTGATTGAGTAAGTGGAGCTTTCACAGTGATGGGACTGAAGCTTTGGAACTGTGCCTCTGGAAATATGCTCCTTCATGTACCTGTTTTTGTTTAAGGCTGGACTAAAGATGCGTTTATTCAGATTGGCTTTTGCCACCTGAGAATTGGTACCACTTGTGGAGTAAGGTGGTTTGCATTTTAGCTATTATTATTTCCTGATATTAGTTTAACTTGTGTTTTAACCATTGTCCAGCACTTTGAGCAACTCCGGTTGTTGTATAGCACTTTTACAAATAGAATTTTGATCGATTCATTCATTCATTGATTCATTGATTGACTGACTTTGCTCGTACTCCATTCCTTACTAGTTTTATTGTGATTCACCAGTGTAACGGAATGAAATGACTGTTTTCCACCTAAAAGTCATTCCCCCCCTCTCCTCAGCAAGAACTAATCTGCATGCGATATTGTTCAAGGTCTCAAGCATTTGCGTCTAAACTGTTTTCCTTTCCAGCTCAAGAGAAGAATGAAGACAAAGGACTCTTTCTTTTTAATAAATCAAAGAACTCTATTTTTAATAAGCTAATCAAACAAAGCATTAGTCAATAATAAAATGTGAACCAATTTGTGAAATGAAAATATTAATTACTTGATATTATAATCCTACAGATATAACTTTAAATGTTTCCACTAGAGACTGATCACACGTAAGGTTAAGCCACATCACACATTGCTTTTACTGATCCAATCAGAATCTGACAGATCTGACTGAGGCGTGGTTTTGGTGGTGTTTGGTAAATCTGTCCTCTTTTCATTTGACCGTAAATCAAAACATCCAAATTATAAAACTATGCCCACGCCATCTTTAACGCCAGTTCAAAGCGTTCTTGAGAAGTTGTCGGAGTGGCCAATCCGTAACTTTCCTCTTCAGCCAAAAGAACCAACGGCAAGCTGGATAAAATCTGTTGCTGTTCCACCTGCTGCAACGGTTCCTTTGAGAATAAAAGCTGAACCATTACGACCCCGTTTTAAGTCTTGTTAGATGCCAACATAACTGTCGTGACCCAGAAGTATCTCAAGACTGGACTGGTCTACAGGCTTCGGCTCCATAAAGGTCCGAGCTGGACCTTTACACCTCCTGATCTAGACGGGGACTTAGGGTCCGTAGACCGACAAAATGGCGTCTTATGTGTTTATGAATCTCCAAATCAAAGCTTAGCGTGAAGACATAACCTTCACTCCCATCAGAACTAATCGTTTCTCCGGATTTGCTGGTTCTGAACAACATTCCACGCTACACCATTCTCCGTCTCACTTCACCTTAGTTACGCCATACTTTTAGTGTTTAAAGTTAGTCTAGTTTTAATTTGTTTAGTTATAAATCTTTAAACTTTTAAAACTTGACTCTCTCTCTTTTGTCTCTGAGTGAATACGAAGCTGTTACATAATCCCTGCAATAAAAAGTTCCAATCTTCTGGTTAAAAGTACCCAAAGATCCATAAGATTGATTTCATATTTACTATGGAATCTCATGTCTTATGGTTCATTAAATAAGATGTAAAATTAACCCTTTACACCAGCTAACTGAGTGCTGAATGGTAGTCAGCCTTTGCAGCACGCTTCACCTCACAATCCTCAATCACATGTCTACACGTGACTGGGCGCTAACCTCTATGGGATGACCTGCTAAAACTTTCTTCATCAAGCTGGAAGTTGTAATTGGTTGGTGGTTTGGAGCAGGCAAGTGTTTTCCACCTCCAGGCATAAAACTATTAAGATGTAATCTGCAAAATCCAGGGCGGCAGAGAGCGAACACCGCTGTGAGACTGCTCACTGCTGAGCAGCAGAATACTAAATCCCTTCTATGAATACAGAATCATACTTCAGACACTCTGGGATCCTCCCTGGACTTCCCTCACTCCCATTTGCCTATAACCATCAGCCTTTGCTCAGCTTCTTGGGGAAACCACCTCGGCCTGCTTGTAAATCTTTCATGAAGCCTTTTTCACACTTTTCTTCTTCTTAGCGAGAGAGAACGGGTGTTAGAGGAAGGGTGGGTGGAGATGTTGTCCTCATC